TATCAATTCATGTGAATATGACGGAAAATTTTCATTTTTTTTCTGAAAAGGTGGTGTCTATCTACTTGTGACCACGCTGTGTACATATGTGTGTGTGTATGCCAAGCTTATTGAATCTGATGAATATATCTTTTTGGGCACCAAGTGGCAAACTAGTAAACTAAATGCATTAGGCTTCACCCACAGCTGTACGTGTAAGGGGTTCAATAAGCAACGCAAAGTGTATAGAGTATCTAAAAGTTTACTTAGTATTGTGGCGCGATTGCCTACTTCATCATTCATGTTAATTTTTAACGTGAATATTTGATTGTGTTGTTTGAAGGATGGTATGTAGTTCAATCAGAAGTCATTACCGTATACCATCAGATAGATGTAGTCATTTGTAATTTTGAATTATTAATATGTATATATTGTTTTTAAATTTTAGTGTCAAATGATATGTTTTGTATCAAGGCAGACACCGGTCATTTTGAATGTTTAAAAACGAGATTGTAGGCCTAATATACTGAGTTACGCCTACGGTCTAACGTAAAGCATGAAAATTAAAATGTTCCTTTTGACAACGTCTCTGACTCTGTAACTTGTGTGATATAAATTTTTAAAATAATAATAATAGGCTTAACATAATGTCTTATGACAAGTATAATTATAAACATGCTTCGCCAGCTTGAAAAAGGTTTTAGTATCATAACATTAACAATTGTTGTAACAAATAGCCTCTGTATACAGAGTAAATTAGTATTTTGACCAATACTGTGTTCATTGTATCGAAGCCGGCCTGAAGAATTCTGGACTGAGTAAAACGCGTCAACATCAGTGGAGACGAATATAGTGTGGTTGATTACAATTATTATATAATCTTCTAATTCTTGAATAATCCTAAGAAATTAGATTAAGAATGCAGTGTTAAAGAAAGAGTAATGGGTGTAATATAATGACTTATGACAAATATAATTCATTATCAATATTATTCTTTCAAATCTTTGTCAGCCTGTAAAACTAAAGCCTGAAGGGCTTTTACACAATAACATTTAATGTAATTTATAATAATTTGTGACTCATTCATAGTGGTACTTCAGGCTTCAGCATTGTAGTAATAATAACCTTTAAATTTAGTGAATTAGGACCAAACTTAAATTATTTCTTTGATTTGAATGTAAGTTAAAACACAATGTCAGACTTTTGATATTTCTTAATTCTAGTAATTTGAATTCGTAAAAGATGGAATAAATATAAAAATAAGTGTTTTCTCTTTATAAATTATTAAAGGAATAACATTTAGCATATGAGGTGAAATGAATATTACACATAATCTAAAGCGAGCATGAAATGTCTTGACCTACGTTGTTATACATAATAAAACTGTGAACTAAAATATTCAACATTGTATTGGTTTGTATGTGACTGTACCAATACTTACTACTAGGCATCGAGGCTGTTCATATATGAGACAGCAGTAATTGAAAGGTTTTCAGCCATAGCATATCCTTTAACTTTTCTCTGTATTGCAGTTAGCTTAAATTTGTACATATTAAAAAGGCCAACATACTTTTGATGTGGTTATTTGCCAGTGGAAATGGTCTGGATATTCTTGCATCTGTTAATGCAAGCATAATCCATCTTCATAAAGTTAAGGGCATTGTTTACAGACTGCTTTCTTGTTAAATTGCTTTTTGCAACATTCAGTAGACCTACTGCTTCTTTTGTAAAAGTTTGTGAATTGAGAGACATGAAATACATGCAGAAAATCATAATATCTTGAGAATTTAGCACCATTGTCAAAACCTGTGGCATCTGCCATGTTTTACATTTCTAAATGTTTGTCTATCACATAACTTATGATTACTTGATTTGGTGATGCCATGCTAATAGCCTAAAAGTCTGTTAGTAAGAGCATTTATGAATAACCTTTGGAAATTTCATGTACTTCATTTGGCCATGATTGTAAGGTACATTGCAGTCTAATTGTTGAGCTGCAGTAATTTTGCATCATTATGAAAGGTTTTGTTACAGGTGTTTTTTGTGATTAGTAAATTTTGTTACTAGATTCACCACTATGATACATATAGTATGTTTGCAAATGTGGAAGTTATTAAAGGGGTTTTGAATTCAAATCAAAGTGTGTTAAATTACTATAAATGTTTTTGTAGAACTAAATTGTTTTCACTGTAATTTATGTTTTATGTAATACTGTTCACGACACCACGTGTAACACATCATAATACAGGCTTGGATACCCTCTCATCCCATAGCATTACGCAATTTTGGAATGGTCCTCAAATGATTGTACAGTCTACGATCTATTATAATTTGTTGTCATTGCCACCAATCGATTTTATATTTTAAAAAATACCTGCCATAAAAATTAGTATTTGTAACAAAAACTGTCATTTCACAAAAATGATGTAACAAGAATGCACTTGTCACAGGTTGTTCCAGTAAGAATGTAGTGATAACGAAATGTCCAGGAACTAAATATTTGTAACAAAATGTCCAGATCTCTTTTTGAGTTCTATACTTATTGATTGATGCATATACAATAAGTATTGAAAATGAATTATTTCACAACAATAGATAAATAGTATTTTAACTGAGCATTAAGTAAATTGTTTCCAACTGTCATTATGTTTAGGAAAAAGAAAAGCTTTCAATCACAAGCACTTTTGGTAAACATTTAGTTATGCACTTATTGGACAAGCTCGATTAAATGTAAACTAAGTTTATTACATTAAGATATTTTTGTCCTCTATTTAAAATCATATATGAACTAAGTGCTTATGGATATCTGTAGCTGTTATTTTTTATAATAGTTAGACAATCCATTAAGACTTAAATAAATAGTAGTACATATGTTTTGTATTGTTTTAAGTCAAAACTTCATGTTCTACTTTATAAAAAATAACAGATTATAGTCTGCAGCAAGTGTTCTCAAACTAAAGGTTGGAGAGGCTTCAGACAGTCATGAAAGAGTTGAAAAGATTTCAAAGATCTCTGAAGTTTTGTATAGATACTAATTTATTGATAGAGAGTTGCATCAACTACTTGACCTCACCACTGACTAGTTGTACTCCAGAAAAACATTTTGTTTTAAAATTTATTTCAGATTTTTTAACAAAGCTACACAAGAACTATGTTTAAACTATGAAATGTAGGCTTCTTACCAAATATCATTCTAAAGTTAGACTGTGTTCTAATCCTTTGAAATAGAGCTAGTTGATTACATGGATTGATTGATACAATCAGTTACTTATGAGCATCAATTACCTTGATTAGTGTCACATAAGATAATAGATTAATTGAAATTACAATTAATCTCACAAAAATAATCAACTAATCAGAATTTATATCTATGATTATTATTGTTTTTAACTCCTCCAACTATACAAGTAATCAAAATATTGTCATTATTTCTTATTATATTTGACTAATTCAAGGTTATTCAACTTAATCAATTACTTTCACAACTATAAAAAAAACAACTAATCAAAATTAGTGTTTTGATTATTACTATTTTCAGTTATTTCAACTATCCAAGTTTCATGAGAATAACTGATTAATTAAAAATGTAATTGATTAATGAATCCAATGATTAATTTATTATTAAATTCCACATGCATCTGATTTCTAAGAGAATTTGCTTATATATATATATCTATCTATATAAAAAGTTCACATGTTATTATTTTTATCTCTAGCCTTCTGTACTGTGTCATACGATGTTTTCTTGAAATCAGTAAAGTAGACCTATTGGTTGAACTGGTTCTGCTTACTCTTAAAGAGATATCCTTGGTCCACTATACGGACAGACCATAAGTAGCAAAACTTTTGTTGAAAATACTTTGTCTTGTAAGTACTATAGAAGCTAATTTAAGTTCTTGGTTCTTTGTAATATCTTGTTGGAGTTGAATTAAATAAACTATTCTGCTGGAACTTTAAAGGGTCACTTAATAAAGGTGATTTTTGAGTTTAATTAGATAAATTGCATGTTTTTTTTTAGAAATTTACATTTAGTTGCAAAAGACAAATGAAGAAAAAGTTTTTCAGACATTTTTTATGCATGATAATTTAATGGATGCAGTTTATCTTGTATCACAAATTTCAAAAATAGGATTGATATTTCTAAAACTAGATGTTGATCATTTTTATATAAAAGGCTACCAACTGGATTTGTATTTGGTGTTCTATTCTTTTGTGTTGCAAATATAACTTTTATTTAGCAAGTTACAGTGAAATAGAATTTGAATATAGGTGTTGGGATTCATATAGTGTACATCACTTTTTGCATTAAAAAAAAGTTGCTCAAACCTACTAAAAACTAAAATAAAATTATTCTATTAAGATAAAGATTTCTAAGATTATTATTATTATTTTCTATTAGAAATGTTAAATGTTAATTCCCTGAGATAAGCATTGTCGATCAACCACATACACCACTATGAGTATGGAAAATCTGACCACTGGGATAAACCACACATCATATTTTATAGTTGGCTACTTACCAAGCTTTGACATAGCTTGGAAGTAGGGTTAAAGGATTTCTAAATAAGCTACATTACAACAAGAATCAGTATGGTTATCAATCAAAATGTGATACAGAAACAAGTGTGAAAAATATTGGTGTTAAAACGGTTAAGGAGTGTGATTTAGTAATTATATATATATTGTAACAGATAATCATACTAGATGCATAAATGTGTATTGGTGAAGAGAATCTTAAATAATAGTTTGTGTTAAAAGCTGTGATACACCTACATGCAATTTAGGTATGGTATTGTTAATTGTGTCTGTACAGTTATATAAAAAAATATTTATTTACAGTGTTATGGAGCGCTTTAAAAAAAAATAGATTTTCTTCTTTGACAGATTGTTTAGGCAGAGTATTCATGTTGAAATTTGGTTGAATGGATGGCAACTGCCAGTTGTAGGAACACAAGTATAGAGGGCGATGTTTTGAAAGTCTTCCTGAAGATGAAAGGCAGAAGACTTTCAAAACGTTGTCCTCTTTACTTTTGTTTCTACAACAGGCAGTTGCCATCCATTCAACCAAATTTCAAAGATTTTCTTATACTTTTGATATGTAAAAAGCACATTATAGAACATATCTTTACTGTTTAATGCTCATATCAAGATAAAAACCCATGTTATTTCTCCTTTAGTGCTTTAACTACTTGTATATTTTTTCAGTATTCCATTATCTTCAAACAAGAACAAGGTAAGCTAATTTCATTTTTTTTAAATGTATTACAAATTCCAGTAGGTTACTAGACTTCTTAACAGGCAGTAATTAGAACTTTGCCTATGGTCACAATACCCTATATGTAAGACTTTCTACTCTCATTTGTGATGCATTTGCTAGTGAAGAATCCTGTAAATACTGTTTCTCGCACAAATACAATAGTTTCAGAATTCTCTATACCAACATGGCTGCCAATGTCGATACATGCACAAAAGAATCTTTTAGACTGGCCATGCCTCAGGTAAAGCATCATACTTAACACTGAATCTTTGAATATGTGTTTGTGTATCTGTAATTATACATTTGATTTGTGTTTGTTAAATTTTTTTTAATTAATACCAATGACAACATTCTGTTACTAGTCATGAACATTTAAGTTAAATGTTATTTAACATATTGATTGTATGTTTTTTTTGTTTTTAACAGATGGATTTTTTTCTAGTCCTAGAACTTTTGAATAATTTATATGTCTTCTGTGCTTAAGAATATTGCATTTGCAAGCTGTTTTTTAATTTTGGTGTTATTATGGTAATTGTTTGATTTCAAACCTTCTTTTCTTTTCTTTTGCCTTTCAAATGCATACAGTTTGGTTTGGTGACTGCAGTTTATAAGGTTAATTTTTTGTGCTAAACAAGCATGTTTCTTGACGATATATAGTTATCATAAACACTGGAACAGAAAACATTATTAATAAGTCAGAATTTATTGATCATTAAACATTATTTGTTGATAACCTGAAATTTTATTTCCTTTATAAACATACCTAAAGGACCCCATTATAAATGAAAAGTTCAGTTTATGTTATTATAATATTTTATGTTTTGTTTTTTTTTACTCCAATGGTGAATTTGTTGAAGTTATATTATTATAATAATGTCTGATGTCAGGCAGAAAGTTGAAGGTAGACAATGTACATCCCTGTTATTTGCAGGACCCCTTGACAACTTCTATACACATGCACTGTAGATCCAACATGCATTTAAAGCTGTTTAATAGCCATTTGTGATTGTGTTGTCTACTACAGTTATTAGAGAATGATGCAAGCCTTGTTTAGAGATTGTAAATGTTTTAATGATAGCTAGGAAAGGAACATGTATTGGTCATTTGTGGTTGCTTAGGGCATTTATATTACTGATCAGTCCAAGCAAGTTTTGTCATGTTGTGGGTGTTGCCTGATCTGTGCTGGATAGATTGTTGGTAGCTGCAAAACTGTCATTGAATTGAACTGGGATTTTCATGTGCAAGTAGGGTTTCACATGAATTGTCAGCTTGGTACTGAATTGGCAAAAATGATTTGTTACACACAGTTTGTAACCACAGCAATGGTTAGGTAGAGCCTAGTATAATAAAACTTAATTAAAAGTAACTTGACTAATGCTTGATATTTGACATTGTTATAAGTGTATCTTACCTTTTATAAGCTAAGTTACAACTACATGCACAAGTATCCCCTGAGAAACAACAAAACTTTATATGCTTGTATCAGACATATCAAAATTTAAAGAGTAAATAATTTTTCAATTAGCTGTTATGACAACAGTCAAGTGATTTGTATACAATATAATGTAAATGTGTAGTGAAAGGTGAGATACAAGTTTTTCATAACAACTGAGGGTTAGTAAGTAAAATGCCCATATTTGTGAGTTGATATACATTCTCATAAATCTTTGAATATAATAGTTTTTCTTAAGATTATTTTTAATTTATATTGAAATCAAATACTTACTGTAATTTTGAAATATGCTGACAGAATTCTTCTAATTTAACACACATCTAGTTCAAACAGTATTGGACAATTTTAAAGACCAAATATAAAGTATGGTATATTCAATTGTTAGATTGTTAACTGACATTGTGTTATTAGGTTTTTATAAAAATAGGAGATATGTGTCCATAGGGTTTTTTCAGAATTTTTTCTGTTTGGGAAGAAGTATATTTGGTGATTGTTGCGGCAAGGGGCATTCGAGTGATAAAGGTACAGTATGTTTATAAACATAATATGGTATCATTCCTCAAGGTTTTTTAAAAGTATGTGTAAAATGGCACAGTTTTAAGAGTATATCACATCTCCCACCAAAAGTTGTCATCTGGAAATCTTTGAATTTGTAAAAAAATCTGGTGGGGTATTCAGTTTAAGGAGGAATCACTCACACCCTATGGAAAGAAATCCCTTCTTGCAATATAATTTTTCCATTACATATAGACCCAAAATAGAGTAGTGAGATTGCCTCATTCTTTTGATAAATCTTGTCAATTTTATCACAACAGCTCATGATGACAGCATTTGGAGTTGTGCTTGGGCCAGAAATGAGAAGGATGGAAGAAATCATATTGTTACTGGGTCTGTTGATGATCTTGTAAAATCATGGGTTTGGTAAGTTGGATTTTTTCATCACTTTTTATTATTATTCCCCATATTGAAGCAAAAAACTAATTGTAAGTGTTAGTGTTTATTACAGGAAAATAACTTTGTTTTACATGTTTTCTTTCTAATATGATGTTAGTTATTGGACTAAAACCTTTTGGTGACAGAAAGCATATTCACGCTGTAGGTTACTTTGTATATTCTAGGGCATGTAAAATTTTATTCTTCCACGAGTACATGAAGAATTTTTTTGTTATCACGTATAATAGGTGAAAATTAATTGAAGTTTAAATTTTTGTAATATACCATGACTGAATAGCATTTTCTTTCCTTTTTTATGAACATCACCGACCAAATAATTTAAGACAACTAGCCCTTTGAACATCTGTTAATCTAAAATACAATATATTAGGAAATTATGCAAGACTGTTTTAACTCTTTCAATACAGGGTCAGTCAATGTGATGGCCTTGTAACCATTTTGTGCTTGTATAGTTTCATGCTATAACTTTTAAATTAGTAAGCAAACGTTAATGAAATTTGGCAGTTCATCAGTAAACATTACAATGCTTTCATACGCAAAATATATAATTTTTTAATTAAGTCGTAAAGTTTGTAAAGCAATGTTTCTCTCATGCCTTTTTTCTTTTCACATTTTGTCTATTTTCTGATGCATAAAAGTATTTTTAATCTTAAAATGAAAATTACTTTGCATGATAGTTTTGAAATATCACATGCAAAATCCTTATAATGTCTGGATAGTTATCAAACACTTCTTAAGAAAAAATTTTATATTTTATCTGTTATTTTCAGTAATTAATCTCTGTACAGGTTTGGTAAATTTGACCAATCTCGCAACCACCATAAAAAATTAGGAAATAAACATAAATTATGCCTCTTTCATTCTATAATGAACACAAATTATAACACAAAAACATAAATGTTCAGACAAAATAGCTTAAATCTCATAAAATTATACATTTATATATATATTTATTATTTTTATTATATTGACCTTTCACCTGTGCCTAGCTAACAATACCATAGAATTCTACTATAATTTATCAAACTTAGTAACTAAGCTGTATTTGGGTCTAAAAAAAATAAGAAATTTCGAGCAGACTAAAGACTCAACCAAACTCATTGAAATTTTGGTTCAAAAGAAATAAATGGCAGTAGGTACATTAGAAAGGCTGAGAAAACCACTAGGGGGCATTTTGAGCTTCTGATTGGTTATTCATGTCAAATATAGAAGTAAGTGTATATAAGAGAACATTTCCAAAAATGGAAAGAGGTGAGTAGGGTGTCACTGTGTTTGATTTATTACGTGAGCAATATCTTAGAAACTGGAAAAGATAAGACCTTC